TATTCATTTGAGCTAATGAGCCTATTTGAATTTATATCTCTAAACTACCCTGCTGGTACCCTCCCCAGACCTTGTGACCTTGAAGAGCTTTTGAAGGCTACTTTGAGAAAAAGCACTCTGCATATCCCTGTTTATAATCAGGGTGGAAAAATTTTCACTGGGAAAATTTGCGAGGGGGGGAAAACAATTTTAGCTTGGAGTACCTGTTGCAGGAGAAGGGATTTAGGGAAATCCAAGCCAGATAGAGACAGACTCTGTGGACTGTCTCTTTGGGCCTTGATCCTTCCTCTCACACGGCTGTTGTGATGACAGTGGGGATGAGAGTCACTTTAAACTCAGTTGGCAGATGCGTGCATGCACACACACAAAGCAAAATATCTTATAATCATTTTAGAACAGCATTGCTAGAAGGGACCCCTGCAGAGATTATTTGTCGGGGGATTTGAACTCCCAGCCTTAGGCTCCCTCTGTAGCCAGAGACCGAAACCAAAGCCGTTCCCGGGCGTTTTAGAACATTCTGGCTGGAAAAAATCCAAGTAAGCGGCCAGAGGACATAAATTAATGCATGGATATTAAGCAAACAACCGTTTTTATAAAACGGGCCTGTGGATTTTCACACCGTGCTGGTTTGTCCTCCCCCAAAATCCAAGAGGATCTGAAGAGAGCATGAAATCAGCCCCCCGGTGCAGCTCACCAAGCAGCGTGTGGATGCTCTCTGCCGGCTTGCCCTCTTAAGGCTGAGAAATCTGCGTCAAACCACGACCAACTTGCCCGAGCAGAGGGGGGGGGGACGACTGGTGACCATCACAAGCTCGGCTGAGTCACGGGTCTCTGTTACGCCACGCCGACGACGAACACATCAACACCGCCGGAACGCAGGGAGGAGGATGGAGACCATCCGAGAGTGTTAGCATCACCCGGCTGGACACTATGGGGTGGATGCAGGGGAAGGAAGAATTGGGGCCGGGGGGGGGAATTCTCCACCCCTCAGAGCAATCATGGGATCTCCATGCAAAAGTGACCCCCAGAGTTGATGTAAGCCCTTAAAGGGCTTAGGTCACTCAGGTGGGAGATGTTGCAGAGATTCCCAGCCTAAGACATGGCCTTCCTTATCAGCTTGATGGTTTCCGACCCCAAGGCTCTTCGGAGAGAGAAAGTAAGCAAACCCTACTGGCCTGCCCACGCGAGCCCACTGGTCCGCCTTTCCCGTTCCAGGCGAAACAACAGCGATTTCACGCCGAGGCATTCGCCCGGAGAAACTAGAGCAAGTGAGCCTAGCACGCCACAAGGAAACTTGCTCAGGCATTCAAAAAATAAAAAATAAAAAAAATCGAGTCCCGGGTGCAAAAGTCTCTCAGGAGCACCTGAGTACGAGAGACAGAGAGGGCTGTACGGCAGGATTTCCATGTGAGGGGTTCATCTGATCCTGCCTCCTTCGGAGTGCAAACCAGCGCGCACTGCGCCACAAAGCAACAGAGCTACGGCAAGAAAAACAAGCCACAAAAAGGCCTCGGCAGTAAGGCTGTAGTAGTTCAGGCTTACCGATTTTTCTCTCCTTCGTCCCCATGTTCAAAAACTGGGCAACCACAGTGAAATTTCAGTTGCTCTTATGCCGGAGCAAAAAATACACCAGGCCTTTTTTTCCATCAGCACACACAGAAGGAACCGGGCATTTGCACAACAGGCTCGGATTTCTTGTTACAAAAACGGTGGTTTGTGCACAAAGGAGATACGAATCCTGTTGTGTCGACCCTGAGAATGGAAATCCCAAAATCGTCAGCTCTAGCAGGCTCCTGATTGCAGGCTGGTTCTCGTGCTGGTTGTAAGACCAGCCACACTACCAGTCATGCATTGTAGGCCAGGGGATGGAGGCTTTTGTGATTTCGATTCTATTCAGCATTAATACAGCAGGACAGTAGCCAAGTTTTTTCTGAGGAACGTACAAGGGCTTGTGCACCGTGCACAGGCTTTTGTGTGTGCAAAAGGTTGGCAAAATGTGGGGGGAGGGGAAAACGCATCATATCCCCAGAATCTCTCCCAGCTGGGAGAAAAATGTTGAAATGTCCCACCCTCCCATCCTCTGAATATGAAATATGCAAAGATTTACATCCTGCCTTACTGCACATGTCAGTACTGTGCCCAGCCATGTGAGCACACTACGGAAAGCGTCAGCTACGTGTGCAATGTCTTAGCACGCTGATCGGTACCCATGGATGAAAGCCATGGCTGAAACACCCAGGCGAGATCCTGCCCTCCCACATGGCCTGACCCAAAGCTAGGAAAGATACCCACACCGTCTTTGAGAAAGACAGCCGTGTCCCGTCTTTGCTGCCACAGTTAGGAAACCAGCGCCATGAGAGTCGGGCCGCATGCACGGATGTGCAAAAAGACACCACCACTGAGGTGGTGTTTTAAAGCCTGTGGTGTCACAGCTGGCACAAAAGCCCGTCAACACCAAATTGCAGCCATTACCCCTCGCGGTGCTTCCATGCGCACACCGGCGCTACGGCTGCAACCGTGTGCTTGATGTGGTTCAAAACACAGCCGCGGCCTCCTCCTTCTGGGGCTTCAAGAGCATCCACACTATAAGTGCACGGAGAGTTGTAAGTTGAGGCGCCGCCCTGCGCGTCGTCCCAATGAGCACACACCAGGGCGACAACAGCACACGCGTGGCCCAAAGAGGACCCGGGCGCCCTTTCCCCACAGGCGGTAGGCATGCCACGGCCTTCAAGCACCAGAGCTGTGAGCACACATAGATGCATGTTCAGCAACTTGAAACCGGCGGCCGTCGCTCCCACGTCCTGCTTTCAAGCACGAGCCAGAGCAACGATAGTGCCGGCATGCGCTAACGCTGCAAAATGGAGGCACAACCCCGTGCCCTGCTTCTGAGCCCTGGAAACCGATGTGCCCACAGACTGGATTTGCTTCCATGCGCTGCTGGAACGCACCAGGGCTCTGACGGTAAATGTGCCACAAAAGGTGGGCACCACCCGGTCACTGCCTTGAAACGACCGGCACTCCGAGACCCGGCAGGCTTGGCCATGAAAGGGCCAGCTTCGCCCTCACATGCTTCTTGAGCGCGCCACTCGGCAGTGCGACAGGACATGAATGGGGCGACCCCAGGAGAAGCAGCAGCTGCGACGACCATCGCCCCCAAACCTGGTGCCCCGTGTCGGGCATGGCTGGGCACAAGCTGACAGGGTTGGCGCCATGACAGTCGTCCGGCTTCACAGGGTCCGGCTGCCATCTCAAGGGAACAGCTACATTTGCACAAGTCTCTGGGTCACATGGAAACTCCAGATGTTGGGCAGAGGAAATGAGACGCAGGGCTGGAGGCTTCCTTTCAGAATCAGATTTCTGTGTGACGCAAAGGCTCCCAACCTTTCCTACTGGTACAGGGACTCACAGACTGAGCTCGGAAATGCCCATCTATACGTTACTCCAAAGGGACCCGACCACACACGCCTGCCGCCTCGCTCTGTAATCGTCATCACGATCATCTTCAAACTGCTGAGCTGGAAGGGACCCCTAAGGATCACCTAGTCCAGCCCCCCTGGGGGGGGAGACTCAAACTCCCAACCTCTGACTCCGCCACTGGGGACCTCAACCCCCACCCCTAAGGATCACCTAGTCCAGCCCCCCCTGGGGGGGGGAGATTCAAACTCCCAACCTCTGGCTCCGCCACTGGGGACCTCAACCCCTGAGCTCTCCAGCGGTTCCCTTCCTCTCCCCCTTGGCTTTGGGGGCCCACTGACCTCTGGCCCATCAAGGCCAGTCTCAGCAAGAAGGGGGGCGGCGCCCCACCATCGCCACTTGGGAGACTTCTTTGTGGCCTGGCTGATGCACCGAGCGGAGAGGAAAGGAACAGGGCCTCACCTCTCCAGGTTTTGGCCCTTACGTTTCCCAGGGTGTGAGGCTCATGAGCAGCCAACCCTTGGTCCCATCATCCTGTGCAGCGCAAACACACATAGCCCATATGGCTTTTCTCTCCCCTCCTCCATGCACACATTCTCCCTCCCCTTTTTTTTGCACGGCGTAGGTTTGCCGAGGAGCTTCGGCTCCAGAGAAGAAGCGCACTGAACTGCGCAGCGTTGCCATGGGAACCGTGGAGTTAATTAAGGCCTGCTCGCTCCCGGGGCCAGAGTAGAGAACATCCCTCTCTTTCCGACCCCCCCCAACCCCACCGCTTTCTCATACACACACCAACTAGCGTGGAAACGCTCAAGGACCACCCGCCTCCCGTTGGATGACAACAGAAAGAAAATTCCACGTTCGGGAACATTGTGATTATTGTTATTACTATTCTGGATGCCGTCTCCCAGAAGTCTGGAGCCAGCTTGGTTTCCTGGGATCCCACACACATACACACACACACACACCGCCCCAGCCAAGCATGCTAGATAGGGAATTATGGGCTTTGTTGCACCAAAAAGGAACTTCTCTGACCTCTGAGAGCCATCGCATTGGGATATCCCCTTTCACTTTTTCCCCATAATTCTGCTGAGGGGCTGATCCTCTCAGCTTATTTTCTCAATGCCGTCCATCCCTGGAGGGCCTCCCATCACTTCCACTCCTTTAAAAACAAAGTTTATTGTGACGGTGCTGCTAACGAGTCACCTCTGACTTAAGGGCGGTTGTTCCCTGAAGGAGGGCTCTCCAAAACCTCCTGTCCTCAATAGCCCTGCTCAGTGATTGCAAATTCAAAAAATCGTGGTTTCTTTTCCGGAGTTGTTCCATCTCACGTTTGGCCCTCCTCCTTTCCTCCTGCCTTCCGCCTTTCCGAGCATGACAGTCTTTTCCAGAGAATCCTGCCTTCTCAGGAGGTGCTCAAAGTAAGTTTGGGAGTTTAATCTTTAAAACCGTCAAGGCCGTTGCCATCTCCCTCATGCTCAGCTCCGCCTCACCCAAGGCTTTTTCAATGGATGAGGAAGCAGCAACAAACGGAATGTCAAAATGTTGTCCAACTTTCATGAGGGGAGTGAAAGGGTCAATTTACAAACCCTAGCCCCACTCAACACCCCCCCCATTTCTAAAAAGCAGAACAGCAGTGATAGCTCAGGACGTTACGTCTCTTGTCTGTGGAGCCAACAGGTTGGGAGTTCGAATCCTGCCTGTGTCCCCAGCGAGTAGAAAGCTGCACCCATCCCAGAAGAAGGGGATGGTGAATAACATCTGAGCATGCTCTACCTGGAAAATCCAGAAAAGGGTCACCATAAGTCAGAACTGACTTGACAGTACATTATGATGATGATGAGAGGGATAAAAATAAGAAGAAAAGACTGGAGGAGCAAATACCATGTCAGCTTTTATGCCTGCTCCGTTCTTTTCTCTCCTTGTAATTCCCTGTTATTTTGATCACTTTTTCTATTTGGAAGTGTGAGTGGCCGAACTGCTCCAGATTGTAGTGAGAAATTTGTGACGGTGGCTTTCCTGATAGCCAGCTGGGGTTCACACGGGGGCAAAACCAAAAATCAAAGCCTCAGAAATGAAATCTGAAAGAGGTGGAGGAGGAGATTACTGGGGGCGAGGAGCGGAAGAGTGCCTTTCAGCATTTCAGAGCGTCTCCCCCTATTCCCCCCCCCAAAATTGCGCAAGTCGCATAAGATTGCTCTAGGGAAAAGCAGAAAGGTGGGCAAAGTGGGTAGGGAAGGAAAGTGTGTGTATGTGTCTGTGTATTGAAAGAAGAGGAGAGAATCTGCATTTTAGCTGTGCCTTCTCCTCCTCTCTACAGATTTAAGAAAATATAATTAAAAAAAAACAACTTTGCCTAAGATTGTAACTGGAGGATTTAACATGGTTTTTGCTACTTTCCCGGCAGATCTTTCCCCTTTCAGGATTTCTGAGTCTCCAGATTTGCTCATCCCCCCCCACCAACCTGTCCTCTCTGCTTCCCAGGGGCTGCCTCAGGCAGCAGACACTGAGAGGCGGCATTCGGCAGAGTGTGTCACTCCCCTCCCCTCTCCTCTCCTAAAAGGTGTCCAAGTCTTCACATAATAATTTAAGAAAAAAAATTCTTTCAACTGTTTATCCAGCTCTTTTAGAGATGGCAGCCATATTCAGTTTGCCTCAGGCGGCAAAATACCTCTGGTGGCTCTTCCTCTTTTGTCGTCATTCCACTGTAGCCTATCCCAGACACTTTCGAAAGCAACCAGAGTGTCAGGTTTTGTGGTCCTAAAAAGGGACCATTCCCCAAAACTTGATAATTTTTTTTGCTCATGAGGGCATTACGACAAATCCGCTTCATGATGACATTTTTGCAATCGCTTTTGCAATCGCAAAACAATGGTCTAAATAGGGTTTTTTCGCTTTGTGATGATCAGTTCCCTGCTTTGGGAACCGATTCTTCGCAAGACAATGCTTTTGTAAACAGCTGATCGTCAGTTTCAAAATGGCCACCGGGTAATTAAAATGGCTCCCCGCTGTGTTTAGGGATGGATTCCTCACTATACAGGTACCAAAAATGGCCGCCGTATGGAGGCTCTTTGCTGGACATTAGCCCATTGGAACGCATTGAACGGTTTTCAATGCGCTTCAATGGGCTTTTTCTTTTCACTTTATAACGTTTTCGCTTAACAGCGATTTTCCTGGAACAGATTGTCGCCATTAAGCGAGGCATCACTGTATTTTTTTAATTTTTAATTTTGGCAAGGTGGGGGACACAAAAGCAGGTGCCGTCCTCACGCATGGCTGCTCACGCTTGGATCTAAACCTGTCTGTATATCTCTCAGGAGTGACAGCCAATGGGAAGGCCAAGCGGTGACTGAGCTAGAAAGCTTGTCCGTTAGTGAACAGCCCTCTGAGTAGTCAACATGCTCAGGGAGCGCAGAGCATCCTCTGACATTGGGAGCAATAAGAGGAAGACGGGTGGTGAAGGAATGGAAGGGGGTACCAGGAGAAAGAAGGATGGCCGAGTGGCTGGCTTTCCCAGCTGCAACATTTTAGGGCCTCACCACGAGAGGGCGCAAATGGGCTTTTCGGTGAAAAAAATTTTTTTTTCTTCTCCCAGTGCTTTAAAATAGAACGATAAAAAGTTACTTTTTTTGGTGGGGGTTGTCCTTGAACCAATTCCCCTCGGAGATTTTGACAGTCGTAGTCTAAAAAACACCCATCCAAGTTTCAGTTCAAAGGCTTCAGCCTGTGTTATATAATAAGGCCAGTTTTATGGCCGCCCCTCTCGAGGGAGGAAAGCAACCCTGGGGAGTCAGTTTTATCCTGGCTTAGGATGCTCCGTTTCATCAGGCAGGTACCAAATCGGCCCATGCATGGAAGGGACTTTCTGGATCCGGCCCGCTGTGCCTCGCAGGCAGCCCAGACTTACCCCGGGAAGCGTCTTCTGTTCATGGAGGGCCGTCTGAGCTTTGATGGCCGAATCCCGGGCGCAGTAGGTCAGGAACGCGCACCCTAAGAGAGAGAGAGAGAGAGGATGCATCCCATAAAATACACCTCCCCAAACGGCTGTGCAACCAGCTAGCTCATCAGGCCAGCCCAATGATCTGCAGTCTCACAACAGATAGAGGGATCCTATTATCCTTCCTAGGTCAAGAGTCTGGTTTGGCTGAGCAACGGTCTAAGTCCTGGGGTAGCCACAAAAGCTCTGGCCCCACCCTAAGGTTTTTCAACTACATCACCCATGGGCCTTAATGGCCCAGATGTTTTGGACTACAGCTCCCACAGCAGCACAGGCTGCTGGGAATCGTAGTCCAAAGACATCCAGAATTGCCAAAGGTTTGCCAGCTTGGTCCAGCCCTGATGGAGCCACAGACCTCCATGGGTCCAAGTCCCCCGGCCGGCTCTAACTTATGGGTCTCTTGGGAAGATAAAGGGAGCAGAGCTGAAAGGAAAGGTGGAGGAAAAGGGAGCGAACCAATGAATAAGAAATAAGCAGGTCTGCATTTGATTTTAAAGCACCATTTTGCTCAGTTCTGTTTCTACATTTTTGGTGTTATTATTTTTTTTACATGCACAGGGAATTATGCACACGTTGCATGGATTTTCCCCCATAATCCACCATTTTTGATGGCCAACGTCTTCCAAAACTGAACAAGCCACAGGTTGCCAAGGGTAAAAGGGCTTGATTTCATGGTCATTTTCTTTTTTAAAAAAAGCATTTCACACACAATATTGATGGAAGGAAGAGATTCCCCAAGCATTTTTTTCCCAGGAGTTAAACCCCCTTCCCCCTCACTAAAAAAAATAAAATTAATTAAAAAATATTTAAAAGTCTAATTGTTCCACCTCAGCAACTCTGAATTCAAGGCTTCCCTCCTGGAATCCACCCTGGTTTTCCGTCCAAACTTTAAAGGCACTCTGCAAGAGGGTGCCTCTTTCTTTTGGAGGAGTGGAGAAAAAAAGGGTCCAGTACCTTGGAAAGCTTATGTAAAGTTAAGGCTAAAACCCGGAAAGGATTCCCTCACCCCCCCCCCGGAACCGGACTTCACATCATTTCACCTCTGGGTTGCAAAATCAAAATCGACAGCCTTGCCCTGAGGTGAAACCAGGGCCAACAAATCTTTCCCCTTTTCCTCTAGGTTCCCCCTTCTCTTGTTCTCCACCCCACCTCCACCGTTTCCTTCCTTTTTCCTGAATAAGGACATTTACGGACATGAGATTCAGAACATTTCCCTCTCCCCCCCCCGGTTCCATCTGCGGTGCGTAACAACCCACTCACCAGCTGGAACTGCCAACACAGGGAGAAGCTGCAACGGGGGTGGTGGAAAACCAGATTATTCCGCCAAGCTCACCCTGGCTTGGAGGAGGGAGGTCAGTGCAGCCTAGTGGTTAGAGCCTCTGGCCTGAAGCAACGGGACAAGGGACAAGCCGTATTCTCAAAGCAGAAAACAGAATCACACTCATTCTTGGGGAGGGCTCAGCAGATGTCCGGAAGCACCCCACCAAAACTGGACCCATGAACACAAGAACAGATTTCTCATGGCGCCGTTTCTCGCTGGATGGTCAACGGGACGTCCTGTCTCCCAGAGATGCTCTCAAGGATCTCTCCCAATCCCCCCATCTCCCCCTCACTTTTCAACCCTCTCCTCCCCACACACCCTTCAGCAACACATGGACAGATCCTGAGGCACCCCTACAGAAAAAGCAGGAACCCAAATGCGCCTGGAGAGAAGATGATGTTTCCTCGAGGGATCCTCCCGGGTTGAAAACACACACAGCACAAGCAGGCACGTGGACAGACATGCCACAGAGAGAAGGGAAGGAAGGAAAGAAAGAGAGAGAGAGAGAGAGGAGCTGCCTGCAGGCCAGAGAAATAAAAATAATGCAAGGAAGAGATTGGAGCAGTACGGAGAGGAAAAAGAAGGGGATGGATAATCAGAGAAGAAACATTGAGAAACAGGGAGCAGAACGGGGCGCGGTGGAGAGGGGAGAGGAGGGACGGATGCAGGAGAACCGACAGGGTTGGCCCCGATCCCCTCTTTCGAAAGGGCCTTTTCTCCTCCTTTTTGGACTTGCAAGGGGAGGGGGCACCCAAATGGAGGGTGTTCCTTGCACACACACAAAAAACACACCTCTTTCCAGGTTTCTGGCCAATTTGTGCCAGAGGAGAAGGGTGGCGTGTGGAGGGGAGAGGAGGGACGGATGCAGGAGAACCGACAGGGTTGGCCCCGATCCCCTCTTTCGAAAGGGCCTTTTCTCCTCCTTTTTGGACTTGCAAGGGGAGGGGGCACCCAAATGGAGGGTGTTCCTTGCACACACACAAAAAACACACCTCTTTCCAGGTTTCTGGCCAATTTGTGCCAGAGGAGAAGGGTGGCGTGTGGGGGATAATTAGGCCTTTTGGGGAGAGAGGCTAGGTGTATTTGGGGGGGGGGGAGGTAAGAAGCATGGCAAGGATTAAAAGAGGTGGGTGGGAGGAGAAAAGAGANGAGCAAAGAGGTGAGGGGGGAGAGAGAGAATGGAAATGAGGGGGGAGGGAAGAGATCAGAAGACGAACGGAAATGAATCCAGGATTACAAAACGAGGTGAGGATTTCCAGCAAGGGGAGGGCATGGAGGAAAACGGCCTGAAAGAGGCATTTAGGACTGCAAAGAGATGGAAGGGGGGTGCAGAGAAAGGGAAAGGGGGGAGGTGTGTGTGAAAAAGGATTTTGCAGGGCGGCTGGGCAGAGCCGCTTACCCTTATGCATGCCTGTGTAGCGGTCCTTGAGGACGGTGAGTTCGTAGATCTGGCCGAACTGCTCGAAGAGGGGCTTGAGGTCCTTCTCCTCCAGGTTGCGGGGGATCTGGCCCACAAAGAGCTTGATCGCGTCCAGATCCTTCATCCCCTCGGATTCGCTCATAGGGGAGGCGCGGGGCGGCTGGGGCTGAGGCTGGGGCGAAGGCTGAGCTGGCCGCCGGGACGCGCTGGCCGGCAGTTTGGCCATCCCCCGAGCCCCGGCGGGATGCTGGGCGAGGGATGCAGGCGGAGGCTGGGAGGCTGATGCGAAGGCGGCGGGCGGCAACGGCGGCGGCGGGTGATGCTGGAAGAGGAGGAGGAGGAGGAGGAGAAGCCCGGCGAGCGCAGCATCAGGACCACAAAAGGCGGCTGCTCAGCAGCGGCGCCGCCTGGGCGCCGGGGGAACTGCAGGATGCTGATCAAGCCAGGAAAGCTCCGGTGGCATCTTAAAAGCCAGCAGGTTTGATCCGACGGCGACTTTCTGTGTGTGTGTATGTGTGTGTGTGCTGCAGCCCCCCCCCTTTTCCTTCAGCTGCCACTCCGTCTGGGGCTCCGTCGGGCGGCCAGCTCTGGACGTGACGGGACGAGGGGCCATCTGTCCGTCCCCAAGTTTTCTTGGTGGAGACGTTCTCCCCCGGGAGCTTCGCCCCCCCCCCGCCCCAGTCCGTCTGCAGGTGCTTCTGAGTCGCGGCCCGCTTCCAAAAAAATGTCTTCTGCCATTCAAGCGGCCAGGCCTCTGGATCTAAGAAAACATGATCTGTTCCTTCCCGGACTGCCAAGGGTGCGTGTGTGGGAAACACACACACAGGGAGAACGGGATAGGGAGAGGGGGAAGGCATGACCAAAAGAGAGAAATTCAGGAGGGAGATGAAAGAGGATGGAGAAAGAAGCGGCCACAGGGAGACCAGAGAGAGACAGAAGCTGAGGAGGAGCGGGGGGAAGCGAGAATAGGGAGTGTAATACCAATCGGGTCAATTCTGAGTTATGGCAACACTTTATAAGGTTTTCCAAGTAAAGAATACACAGAAGTCGCTTCCCCTCCCCTTCTTCTGGGAGAGGATCCCCGGGACGGTGCAGCTGGCCCAAGGCCACCCAGGCTGGCTGTCCTCGGAGTAGGCACTGAAGGGGGACTTGAACTCCCAACCTTGGGCTCCACAGATAGCGGTTTCGACCTATCCAGCCAGCTCCAAACCAGGAGAAGGGTGTGTGTGTGTGACAAAATGAGATGGAGAGTGGGATGGCTGAAAGGTAGGGGGAAAACAGACAAAGAGTAAAGAAGAGGGAGATGCAAGAAGTGATGGGGTGATGAAAGAGAGGAATCAAAGAAAAAGAAATGAAGAAATGGAGAGGGGGGAATGAAGGAGAGCAGAGGGTGATTAAAAGAGATGAAAAGAGAAGGAAAGAAACTGGGTGGCAAAATGTAGGAGGGTGGGGTGAGAGGGAGGAAAGATGTAGACAGGGAGTAAAGGATGTGGTGGAGATGGAAGGGCGAGGGGGGGTGACCAACAAGAGGAAAAAATAAAAGCACCATCAGAGAGAGAAGGGAGTGACCCCAAAAGAAAGAGAACAGGTAGAAGAAAAGCCATGTAGTCCAAGGTTTTGTTTTTAATGCTTACTCACAAATAAGCCCTACTAGGAAATCACTCCTTTTTTAAATGAATTCCAACTATATGGTCTCACCCAGTCATTCTCAATTGGGGGGGGGCTGGTCCATTTGAAAGTGTGGAAACAATGCTTCATACACCAACTCATAAGGTTCATGATGCGCCTTCAACCGTCCTGATTTGGCCTCTGCTACTTTTAGATTGTGTTGGTGGCCATGTCCAAAAAGAAACCAAGAGTGGTTTGACCCTCTGCAGATTTATTCAGAAGTGCATCTCCTTATGATCCCTAAGGAACATATTACTCACAATAAATAGGACTGAAGCCTTAATCAGACACACATCACGCTTGCGCGGAATTAAAGGTATTCTTCAAAAGTTGTGATTGTTTTGAATTGTGACTTGAACTGGACCAGCTCCCTGTGGCTGTAAGCTCAGGGGGTGGAATCTGGAGACTTCCCCATGTTTCTGGACTACAACCCCCTTCATCTTCAGCTAGCTTAGCCACAGGTGAAGGGGCAAGCAGGATCTGCATGTCCCCCACCCTTGGATTTAAGCCCTAAGGAGATCTGTCAGCCTGGATTCACGTTGTGCACCGACTGGGATTTCCAATCTTCAAGGCAAGCCCCACATTTAACGCAATGCAGTAGTCTAGCCCTAAGGTTCCCTGATGTGGGAAAGGGTGGCTGTGAAGCACATTTCACAGTCTTGTCAATTTTGGCAATTCTAAATGCTAAGTCACAATGCAAAAACCCTTTTATGGGGGGGGGGAAGAGACACTTTTCTTTGAGCCCCATCAGCTGTCAAAATCTGATTAGGACTTTAACAGAATACTATATAAGCTTTTCCTCCTCGGTTTCTCCACAGTAGATATTTTTGTGTTAAATAATGGAAATGCCCAAGACACAGCAGGTTGAAGAAAGCTGGAGAATAAAGAAGTGCGCGGGGAGGGGGGGGAGACTGAGAAATACCACCACCACGAATACCACCACCAAAGTGGACACAGAATCAGCACACTTTTTAAAACAGAGGTAGACCTGCTTTGGACAACAGGGACCTGATTGTAATGTACAGATGGGAGAAAGCACTGGGCCATCTGAGGAGAATGGCCCCGGGTTCAAAGCGCTTTCTTGCTATGCACACCCCTGGGAGAACTCAGCTCATGGGCCACCTCCCTGCGCTTAGTTCCTACCCAGCAGGGCTGCTGGGGAGGTGGGAGAGGTAAATAGGCCCCTCCCCCCTGTACTGACCATCGCCAGTGGGGAGGAAAAACAGCATTGTGAATAAAATAAGCAGACAACCTTTTGCCAGGCCATTTTAAATCCTTTCGGGGCCCATTAGTCAAATTTGATACAAAATAAACTGGTATTTAAGAGTAGCTATAAAAAGGACACATCTAATTTGCTAATGGCAGCAGGATTTACAGTACTGTGTAGGCTGCCTTCTTTCAAATTCTCATAGACTGCTCATAGACGTTTTACTCTGTTTTGTTCTACTGTTATTACTTTTATCATCATCATCATCATTGAAAGCTTGGGGTTAAGAAAGCTTTTGCCAGCTTTTCTTAAGTACATATTTAAGAACCCCCTAAATTAATTGATTCTATTATACCCATACAGAAGATGTTACACAGATTTTGGGTGGGGAAAAATAACTTGTCTTAAGGATTTAAGACAGGAACTTCCAGATCAAAACAAGCCTGAACTTTCTCTGCCAGCAAAAAGGATGAAACTGAGACTGTCTGACTTCCGGCAGTATCGAGAAACAGCAAGACTTCTTGTAAAAGCCAATAATAATAATAGTGGGGAGACGGGGATAGGAATGAAAGCCAACAGAAGTGGATGTCATGTGAGAGGGGTTGATTCCCTAAAGGTAGCCACTGCCTTGAATTTGCAAGACCTGAGTTGAGTTGTTAATGGCAGGACCTTGAAGGGGTCGGTCATTCATTTATAAGGTCACCATAAATCAGAAGTGATTGGAAAGCCCGCAAGAGCAACTACCACACAGGAATATCAAAGCATTAAGTATTTTCAGCTTCCAGAAATAAAAAAACCAACAAGAGATCACAGTTCTACCTCTGACTGGTTATACCGTCCCCTCCTGGAGCTTTCTAGTCCATAAATGAGTTTATCCTCGTGTTTGATGGGATTTATTTTTGCTTTCGTCTTGTTGCACTGCTTAAAACCCGTGTGATCCACACAGGAAAAGCCCTGTTTATTCAAGATCCAATTCTAGAATCACCTAGAAGGAAACATTATTGGGACTCGATGGGTAGCTTGATCTGTGTAAAGAGAGGATATGGCAGGACGTTACTGTATTTCCCCCACCTACAGCTCGCTTTTGAGGGTGAAGTCATTCCAGAGACCTTGTCAAGAGGGAGGAAAAAGGAATCTCACTCTCTCGCAATCCATCTGACACCAGACGGCTGCTGTGCAGATAATGCACCAAAGAAGGAAAGCCACTACTCAAGAGTTTGCTTGAAGAAACATGGGATGTCAGGAACAAAACATATTTAAAAGGCAGCAGAGGGGGTGGTACAAATCCACATTTATCCCAGACAACTCCATCACCCATGATCCTTCACCCAACCCACCCCATTAAGAAATCCCAGAAAGAACGTTCAGCTCCCTGCTCCTTCTCAAGAAGGCCCTCAAGTACAGAACGAACGCAACCAAGAAATACAGTGGACCCTTGACTTACAGACAGCTTGACTTACAGACTTTTTGAGTTACAGACTTCTCTGGCTGCAAAATTTAGGTTTGACTTGCAGACTGAGATTTGGCTTACAGACCAGAAAAAAACCAAAATGGAACAAAAACGGCCTGTTACGGGATTAATCGGCTTTCAATGCACTGTAGGTCAATGGAGACTTGACTTACAGACTTTTTGACTTGAGAACCGCCTTCCAATACGGATTAAGTTCTCAAGTCAAGACCCCACTGTATACAGTAAGCCAGCTTTTCCTGAAGCTTAAAACCCTGCCCTTCCTTCGCTTATCTGTAGTTCAAAAAGGCCGTCTTTAAAGCACACCGGGCCCCACTTGAGCCGGGAGTTGAGAAAACCAGCGCCAAACACGCTCAGAAAAAGAACCTCTTTGTAGTTCTCTTTAATTTACATGTGCACATTAAAAAAAAAATTAAACAGAACAAAAC